GAATCTACATTCCCCACTAATTGGGACATGCACTTCGGCGATCCAGATCGAGAATATAGTCGTATAGTGCTGGTTCCCAGTCCTGGGTTTCTCAGGCCTTCTAGCAATTGAAAGTTTTGCCAAAGTTTTCTCGGCTTTGAAATCACATTTTTGCTCAGTTTTCGCGGGTGAAGAAAAAATAGTACACATAAATTTACTCCTTGGTTTTCTCGAACTTAAAATGAACCAGAATGAAATACTGAAACCTTTCGAATCCGCCACTTTGATAGATCAATCTTTGAACTTTTAGCTGTGGAAATCTCTTTTTTTTTCACTTTCCTCCACACTATAATATTATTTTTCTCTCTGGAATCCTTGAAAAGTCATTTATGCCAATAGCTTATCGACGCACTTTCATTGATTCTCATTACTCTCCTAGGATTTCTTTAGTTTCCCATAGACTAATGGATCATCAAAGAAGCTACATTGGCGAACTCAATATTCCCGGCCGATTAATTTAAAATGCAAATTACGACCATCGAATATCTTACAGTTTCTGTGATTAATTCATTGTTTTCTTCTGACTTAACACTATCCTAATTTCTTTCGCTAAACGAGCATCAAGCTAATTAACACGACCATCACCACAACTTGGTTAAGAAACTGTCCTCCTCGCTTCGCGATTCGTGTCTTGGAAGTGGCGTCGGCCGCGAAGACGCCTCGCGGTTCCGGGGCTGGAGGGGGCGTGGGCGAGGGCGCGGGCGCGGGCGAGGGCGTGGGCGATGGCGGCGCGCTTCCTTGAGGCCAGATAGAGACGCACATGGCGGAGTGGGGAGCGGTGCGTGGAGGCGCCGCAATCTGCGGAGAGGGGTGCGCCCGGATGCCGGCCTTCCGCCCGAGACACCAGGGCCGCCCGCCGTGCAGTGGGCCCAACTCTCACCTAAACGCTCCAAACTACAGGGAACGAAACGTTTCCTCCTCTCAGTGTCCATACTTACTACCCAACTACTCATAGTTTTTTAACAAAGTGCACGATATCATGGAACACCAAAATGGAGCGCTAACACTGCATTGATGAATTAAAGATCGAAATTACATTGGGGTAAATTACATAGATCATTTAAATATATAAAATTGAGGGATAAACGGTTTTGAGGAACAAATTTATGGTTTTAAAAGTAGTATCGTATTGTAATCACGTCAACAATTAGATCATCAACTTTCGCTCAAAATCTGATTTAAGGTTTTCGCTTCTCAAGGTTTGCAAGGTTTAAAGTTCGCAAACATGTCAAAAATAAGGTTTCAATCATGGTAAAGATTTGTGCATGCGACAAGGAAATACGCGTTATTTTGTACTCAATGTCTGTTTGGATCGACAGATGAATGAACATAATATGTAATGCATTATTTAAATCAGATCAGATAATAAAATCAAATAATCAAATCATTTATTAATACCGATGGTGAAGGACAGGTTTGAAAATAACCGTGAACTTTGCACGTTTCAAAATTTCATAGATTTTTTGCCGCATGCACATCTTTACCATCGTTGGCGTCCCCCAAGCAGTTGTCTTTTCCCCTACATTTGTGTCCATATTTCTTAATGACATTCTAGGTTCACCAAGAGGCAGGGAATACTTTAACGGAGATAACTTGGTTTACGTGACAAAGACTGGGAGAGACAAATGACGAGCGTTTGACAGACTCCGACGTACAGCACAACTTACAAACAGCGCCAGTGATAATATTATTATCAATCCCTCTAAATGTCACGCAATCATTTTCGTGTGCATAATAAGCGTACACCCATTAAAGAACCGCCCCTACGAATTAACAACATCGACATTACATGAACAAAAGACGATAGATACTTAGGAATGATTATTAATCAATAACTACTACGGATCAAACATGAATTTGAAAAAACGCATACCGACTTCTAATGCTCAGATGTTATATTTTATACATAATTATATTGTCAAGAAGACAACTGTACATCTACAGCTCTTACATCAAGGCAATCGTAATATGTTCCAGCGAGACCTGAGCGAGGGTGTTCCAGACTAACTATCTGAGACTAACAAGACCAGACAACAGAATAGTTAAATTTATCTTAAGACCAAAACCAAACCAATATTTCTTGTATTATTTATCTGAGAATTTCCAAAGCAAGAGTGACATTTAATAGGACTATCCCATGAATTAAATTATGTCCAACAGAGTTCCAAAATGCGCCAAATATTGAAAATAACTTAAAGCTATGATAAAATCAAAAAGGTTACGATATAGTTCATACGCAGTTTATTGGACATTGTCCTTGGGATCGATGTGTACCGCGTCTTACAATAGAAGAGTCACAGTTAGTCACAGTTAGTCAATTGGGAGAAGTGGTAAGAAGAATCGGATAGAAAAAGCTATAAACTTTTTCAAATATGTCACCCTGATTGAGGCATTTTGTGTGTATACTTAAACACTATTGGTTTTAATTTCACGAGTGGAATAGGTTTATCTTCGACAAAAACGCAGAAGCCAAGTTTTTGTTCGAAAAGTATATGTCATGCTCATGAATGTCGAAGACGTTAAAAACCTATTTACGAAACTTATACTATCTTAATTACTATTTACATTATACAAACCAAAAATTAGTAATACCCGCTTACACAAACAAAATTATTCTGGCGAGAAAGGCTTAACCGCCTACATTTGAATATTTCCTTAAGCGTAGGTCTTTTTGTTTCATGTAAGATAAGTTAAGAATTCACTTAGAAGATAATTGACTTAATTCACCAGATGGTAGTCATAGATGAGTACAAGATGCATGAAACAAACATATTACTTGAATCATAAATAAATACACATACATACGATCTACATCATAGCTGGTGGGGTTTTTCCCAACCAGGCATCCCCCATCAGCCGGGGCATGCTGTAAGCTCCCAACTGGCCTCACAACATGTGCGGTATTGTACTGAATTTAAGTGTAAGTATGGGTAAGGGGAGAGAATAGGACAAGGAAGATGAAGAAAATATTGCGCAAGATCCGTGGACCCTCATGTCACATTCGCCTCCGACATTCCCCTGGAATTGATCGACACTCCTCCTGACCTTTATGAAGGGGAATGGAGGGATCTATACTCTTATTCATTCACCGTTCATTATAATACTCCCATCCTCCAAAATCATCATTAGGTTTATTACCCATAGTTGTATCACTGGAGAACACACTTTGCGCTCCTTCACGAATATCTGGCACTATTTTTCACCATACGTGGTACCGAAAAGTTATCAGAATGTGCGGGTACGAGATCGCTTGTAATGAAGTCCCTAGAAGCAAAATCAACTAAATCAAATGAGATAAACAATGTGTTGAAGAATCCTTAGGTTCATGACTATTTATCAGGCGTAAAAGTATAAAGTATTTTTTTATCTAGACTATTACCCACTAACCTGATAATGTTTAACAGTTACAAGCCGTGATTAAAATTATACTCAGTTATCGATTTTGTATTGAAACGCTTGTGAGTTATGTTTATTCAGTAAGTTTATTCATGTATGTTTAATTTGATCTTTATGATTAAGTATGTTTAAAATGTGTCAACATATCCTAATACTGATTCCCTACAACGGACAGGAAAAATAAAATCAGGGCTATTTTGAATAATTTGGTACTATATGATTTGAAATTGCACTGATGTATATGTTGATGAATCCACAGACACTGTGTGAAAAACGTAAACATGAGAAAATTTAAATGTCCGAGAAAGAATTCAAAATAATACATTCAATCCATCGTTTTGGATATATTATTCTGGATTGTAAAAATTTCGACTTCGTATGAAAAAAATGCAACCTTGAAACCTTACATGAAATTTATAGTATTTTTTTGTTACATACTTGCTATCTTGAATATGAGGTTTTACATTTTAAACTCTAGAGCCACATTCGAACTCAACAATTTCCGATCCTTATAAATAAGCGTTAATCTTGACTTCGGACTTTAACATCGCCAAGTTATTTTTAGGGACCAGATTTATTAGAAAATCTATGAAAAATGTATACATTTATGCAATAAAACATCAAGAATACGTAATAAAATAAGAATTATAAAATACACTACGTAATCCGTCATAATACTGTTTATCATTTTTACTCACAGAACATTCTCTGGTATGTTACTCTTACTACGGCGCTCAATGAAATTTTGAGTTTTCTTTCAGTTCCTACCGTGGAATGTTTGCCGCTTAATACAATTAACATTCAGCAATAGAACCACGTTTGAACAGAATTCCGAAAACTGTTTAGCAAGCCCCTTCACATCACGAATTCTTGTCTGTTTGCATCCTCTTTCACGCACATTTGCAGTAGGGATGCGACATCAAATGCCGATGTTTTCAAAACGCCGATATTTCTATAAAAATATTGACGTTTTAAAAATCGATATATTGAAGATATGTTTTTTGCACATGGATGATTTGTATTCGACGGTGTTACGTTTTCAATGTTTCGTTCGTGAATGATAAAAATTCTCATAATCACAATTTGGGAAAAGTTGGGATATGAAATAATATCCTATGGTAACACTTTATGTGTTTGAACCACATGAACGTGGTGTGTACTACCTTCATCGAGCAGACTACCCATTGCCCACGATGATCCTGATCGTCTGGAATTTCCTTCGTCTTTTTTCGTATTTCCGTTTTCATCTTTATTTTCAGTGAATTTCCATTATAAATTAACACACGACCACTATCAAATTAAATTGCCAGTTATAAAGTATTGATGTTTTAAAAAATCGATGAATTTTAGTCGAAGAATTGTTGACATGAGTGCTTTAATTTTGAATCTATGTTTTATTGTCAATGTCGCGTCACAAATTTGGTATTGGACTCAGGGATATGTGGGTGTTTCAAGTCACGTTTATTAGTTCAAATGTGTCACTAATTTTGAAGATGGGGGAAATGCATTTGCAATGAAATCCGGGGCCTTGTTATTGTTATGCGGCTCTCCGTTTCCCCTTTGGTTCTGCACCACTGTGCGACCGCCGCCGCCGCCGCCATCGCCCAGGGCGAGCCGTCGCCCGTCCGGAAGCGCGACTGTCCGCCGCCGGCCAGTCGCTGCTGTCCCTGCCCGCCGCGCGGATCTCTGCCGGGACTCGCGGCGGCGACCTGCACCTTCTGGGGACCTCTCGTCGGCGACGTGCTCCTTCTGGAATCGCACCCACGGCGGGCGCCCGGCGGCACCGACGGCGCACCTGAGTGTGGAAGTTGCTGCTACGTGGCCCTGACGAAAGATGTGACCTGCTGTGGTAACGCCATCTGGTTGAGCCAGGCGAAGCAGTTCGGCGGTCGTCGGCTTTCAATTTCCCCACCTTTCATAGGTTAGTGATGGCATTTGTAAGGTAAGGACATCATGTTTTACGGATATCTTGATGTCTTTATGAAGACAGGTTGATGCTGTTTGTCATCTCGGAATCGAAAGTAGTATATCTAGATAATTCCACCAACATTTACAGTAAACCATGTCGTTACCGAGGTTCTGCCCTTGAAGTATTGAAAAGTTTATTATGGTTTGTGAAGGTAATATGGTCACGTTAAGAGCCTCAAATTTTGCTGTTTATATATTTTATCATTTGGCCAAATTAACAGCATCATGATGAAACTTAACATTTTCGCTTCAATTTGAAATGGCTATATCACATAAAAAAGTGATTCAGGAATATTTTGTTGTTATTTTACAAAAATATTGTAATTTGAAGTTAATATGCCCACTGCAGGTTTTATGGCCATTGCCAAATTAACGTGTTTCTTGTAGCATGACTATGGAACTAGGGATAGCTTAACTAATATATAATAAAAATTACATTCTTGCAATCTAATCTTACAAAACTACGGCCTAAAGTAAATCCTTTTTTAAAACATTAGTGCAAGAGTTTATACGAAGTTATAAGGACAGAACGCCTTCAGCACGTCCTTCACAATATGAGCTCCAAAATGAGAATGCGCGAATCAACAAGTCTGGTATGGCGCACGTCTTACACTCTCCCAGACTGCATGCTAGCACAATAAATCGGAAATAGATTCAGCTAACTCCATAGCCTCTACTTGGCCATATTACCTGCACTAGCCAGTTTGCATCGCTAACCGTAATTACAAATTCTCAATAAATTAACTTTATTGATTAGAATTGTATGAATTTGTAAAATTAGTTTAATTCAACGTTATATTGATCTAAAATGTCTTCCAATTTCATATATCCATTTGTTTATTACTATTTTCTATTCTGTAATAACTTGACTTCTTTTACAAAAATGTGGAAGTCATACTTGAAATTTTTAGGAAGGTATTTTCTTAGTTACAATCTTTAAGCTTAAACACTGATAGTATGTTTAAAAATAACTAGCCTCAACAAATTCTGTTTTGTCATTTCACTAATTCAATGTGCAAAAAATCATACGAATTTAATATATGTACCACAGAATACTGTGAGAGCTTTGGACTTGTAAGAGTTAGAAACAGAACGACTTTTCCCGGAAGCTGCAATGCGTCATGTACTTTCCATCAGGAAATATTGTGTTGATATGTGGAATTAGTGGTATTCCTACGACTTCTATCGGAGTAAAATATCCCCTTTTACTATCATGCGTTAGTGCTATGACGCAATGATATAAGGGACTGCCAAAACCCAAGTGTTATAGGACACCATTCCAATTCGAGTATTCCATTTAGATTTGTGGAAAATTCAGTGAGAAAAATATTAATAAATGAATGATCATTTAAATCTTTCTTCATACCCCGAGAACAAAAGTGGCATGAGAGTAGTTGCCTCAAGTTACGAATATCTTTTATAAGCGTAGAAGAAAATGTGACAATATGTTGTTAGAAACGCACCCATATGTCCAAGATGTAAATACTTCTTTGAGCAACGGGCAGCTAATAGAAGACCAAGATTGCTTCTAATCGGTTTCTGTGAGCATTTCTTCTTTCAGTTGACAGGTTTCTTTACCGGAACTTTCCCCAACACGTTTTGTGCTGCCAATATGGGAAGTAGTTACGATATGATAATGTTTATCTGCTAATAGTAACGTACTTATTCATGTAGTGTCACGCACGTGATTGCACTTTGCTTGAACTACGAGTATTTGTGTTTCGTTCAATGATGTGGTCAATACTAATATTAACTATAATACTATTCTTCCGATTTAATTGTTTGTTTATTCCTTGGAAGTTAATATATATACTTGGCGTACACGAAGATTAATATCAACGAATATAATTTATGTAACATTTGTTTTTTATTTGCTTGAGTTCATTTTTAGCTCTGGTGCTCTGGCATAAAATAATTGTAATGAGTTTAATGTTGGTATTTTCATTAATACATTTACTTTTAGTTCAACATTAGAAATCATGAGCATTATTTTGAGCAGTTAGAGAACATTAGAGTGTTTGGCTAAGTGTTAGAATGGATCATTCCCTTAATCGACGGCCGCATGCGATCACATCGAAATTTAGTAATCATATTTCAATTGAAATCTTGATTTGTTTAGTTGTAGTATTAAGTACATTTAATAGAGAGGCTCTGCGTAGTAATATCAACATTAAATTTTACACATTGTACATTACAATTATTGACATATCAACTTGAACTTTGATATGAATGACCCAAAAATAGAATTTCTTTTATCACTTTAGAACAGAGGAACGTAAAATACTTGAAGATTCATTTAACATTTTATTCTACATAATAATGCTTTGTTTGAAAAACTAAGCATTAAAACTTTTTTAGCAGTAACTCTCGGATGAGTTCTTAGATTTGAATATAATGAACAAGAAAAATGTCTGAAAAAGGGTAAATGGGATCCCATTGAAAGTTTTCGTATGAAATAAAATAATACGAATACAGTAGTCAGGAATGTCTGGATAAATATTTCACTTTAGAACGGATTAAGGATTTTATTGAGTTGTGAAATTAGCTATTTTTACCGAGTTCGCTACTGTCTACTATTACTGAGAAGTGAATGTGCTAGTTTGGAAGAAAAACTAATTTTAAGATTTAACGACATTTTAAGATTTAATGCTTATTTCTTTTAAAACAAAGCATTATTATTTAGAATACTATGTCAAATGAATCTTCATGTGTTTTACGTTCCTCTGTCGTAAAGTGATAAAACAAATTCTACTAATTGCATCATTCGTATTAACGTTAAGGGGGATATGCACTTCATATTTAGCACTAAGCACTTCACATTTGGCCTTTTTCAGAAATGTTTGTTGTTCATTATATTCATATCTGAAATCTCATCCGGGAGTTAAAGCTACAAACTGCCTAGGCCTACGCGGGTTCTCTTCTTGATGCAGCTGTAGGATTGCCGACTAACTAAATAATAAAATAACATCCTAAGTTGAGCCACGATCCCTCTGTGCGTCAAACATCGTTAAAAAGTGGTTCAGGTGACTAGAAATCAGCCATTAAACACCGTTAGGTTAATTTTTATTTACATAAAAACGAACACACTGACGAATATAACGGCTTGTAACAAATGGCTGAGTCCCCACAAAGCATGTTCTATTTATAACTGCTATTTTGTGACAAAATATAAGGAAAAAAACAATGTTAAAAAGTCACTCTATTTAATTTTCCTTGCATTGCTACTCTTTCAACCGTATCTGTTATTGGCGGGAATTCCCGCTTGTCAGACGTCATAACACATGCCTAAAACATAGTCTGTTTTTTATAGAAGGGGAAGGAGTATAGTAGTCGAGGAATATGTCGGCCCAGCTCTGAAGTCACGAATAGAATTAGAATAAGGCACATGATATGCAGGAAGGAAAGCGTTTGTGTACTCCTCAAGCTGGTAAAAGCTAAGTACGAAACATTGAGTCTTTTTGAAACCTATTCTTATTCCTTGAGCCCGGTTACCCCTAAATCTTTTCTTCGTATACTGAAACAATAGTCTCCGTAGGTCGGGATGTTCTAGGGTTCGAATCCCGACGCTGGCAGATTTAACACTAACTAGGTAGATGGTACTAATTTAGCCGCTGTCTGAGGAGGATTCTAGCGTTTAGCTGCTCTACAGTTTTCCATCGTTTCTTCTCTTAATATCAAGCGAATGCCGCAGCTGAACCATAACAAATGGACCGTGGACCGCGCGTGATCATTCTTAGCTCATTCTTGTCCCCTCTTCTCCCGTTACAAACACATACTATACATTCCTGCACTTCACTGCCACACATGTCGCAAGAGTAGTTGGGAGTTTTGAGGTTGCTTCGGCTGGGACGCTGTGTCACTGATGGAGACACCTTACAGTGGAAACTCCCGAATCCGAAGTGTAGGTCGGTGGTGGAAGTCACATATCAGTGGGGGAGGAGCACCGCCACCACCCGGTATTACGGTACCAATAGTTGTAGCAGTCGGTGCGCCCGGAACCACAAAACAATCAATAATCAATCGATAATTACTGATAAATTAATGATTACTAATTACTCAATAATCAGTTGGGAATAATAAGTTCCTCTCGGTCCGTTGACATCTGATCAAATATCAGTGCTCCATGCTCACTTCTGTCTAAAGTTTCGCTATTATGTGTGCACTTTGCACATTATTAATTGATTGATGTTGCCAGACACGTCAACTGCTATGGTCATTAGTCCCTTTAGTGTAGTGACTCTGACTGGAGGAGGTGATGTTTCTCCCCTGCTGAGCGGTGAGATCCGGCAGCGACCTATTGTCAGTTCACGAGTGAATTCCCTCTCGAGGGATTTCCCCCAACGAGGCACTGCCCCAGTCAGAACAAGTTCTAAGTACCCGACTGGTGTCCGACATTTCTGATAGTGTAGTGCACGTAAGAGTGAGTGGAACTGTGGGGAGAGGATATGATTACGAAGAGGAACGAAAGCTCAAGCGCGGACCGTGGCCCGTTTGTTCGGTTACTGCCCCGGCATTCGCCTGGAATTGATCATAGGAGCGACGGAACACTACCGATCAGAGCTACCCGTCGCTAGAATTATCATCACGACAGACGCTGGATTCGACGTAACTATCTATCTGGTATCAAAAATCCACCACCGTCAAATGGACATTACAGTCGGATGCAATCGCTGTAGTTACACAGGCAATGCTGGCACTAAGCTAATCTCTGCCAGTTTGTACAGTATCGTATTATTACGATTTAGAAGATACAAGTGTAATGTTAAGAGATACTTTACATCATGTGTACCAGTATGATCGAAGTTATTACGAACAAACTATAAAACCCAACTTCATGCGTAACAAGTATTTCAGAATTTGGCATTACATGATAATTACATATCAGCTAAAATATTCCGTCACAAACGATCTTAATGTTTGGTTTTAGAAGATACGCCTTTATTGTGGCCTCAAATTGAGAAAGTGTTCTATTGACATAATTTATGACGAAAAGGGAAGCGCATTTGCGAGCCATCCGCATTTAAAAGATAATGGATATTGTAATCTGCTTTCGCTACTTCCGTGAGGAAATGGAAAACACATTACACATTCCCAAATAAATATTTTACGTTTCCCGCACTTTGCAATGCAAAGTGTGATTATTTGCGATTTTAAACGCGTGAATACGAATACGGTGAGCATAGTCTTACCAAAAACGATTAATAGGGATTGTTGTATACAAGAGAAGCGATCAGAAACAACAAGAAATAGAACTAATACTAATTAATTCCATAACAATTCGTTGATTATCACTGTATTAACTGCACGCGTGCAATTAAAATTCAACTACCAATCCAGAATACGTTCAGTATCTTCCATTTGTAAACATTTCTTTACCCTTTAAGAAACTATGGTGATCGTATGTACACATAGGCTTACTAAAGTAAATCTTTTTCAGAAGCTATACGACGGCAGTAGGTATATGTCTCTAATGTTAAAAATGTTCTTAAATTTCTCAAAATTTAAACTATTTTTAAATGGAAACGAAAAACTATCGAACGAAACACCCGCAAAACGGGTGTAATTGCAATCGTGGCCAATAAGAATATTCGCTTTTATCGTTGTTTCATTTTCCTGAACAAACCACTCATGTAATTATGCACCTTTTTATCCACTCGTTTTGTTAATTCAAGGATTAAAGAAACTATACTACAAACTATAAACTGCAAGGATTAAAGGAACAACTTCCATTTTCCTGAACACATCAGGGGTTTTAAAAAGTCTTCGGAGTATTCTTTAACTTGAAAATCTGAAAACCTGTTTGACCTATATAAAATAAAAAAACCGTAATAAAAATACAGTTTGCAGCATAATTGTTTCTCTATTACACACAGGATTTAAAAAATGGATATGAAACACAGTTTTTGTTTAGATAAATTATATGTACATGTTAATGCCATGAAAAATGGTTAATCAATATACAGTATTCGAGGTAAAACTCTTGCGTGTGCAGATGTGCAGATGTGTGTTTTAGCTATTCCGTCACCCGCGTCTAGACCTCTTCCTGTGCACCAATCGAGACGTAGTGACATTCGACGCGTTCTCGGGTCCCTGAATAAGGGAAATGATTTTTTTTGTATCCAGTGGAAATTTAAAGAAATTTCTAAAAATGTTTTTGGAGCTG